CCCCCCTGGCGGGGCGGGCCCCCCCCCCCCCGGGGGGGCCGCCCCGGCGTGCCGGGCCCCGCCTCGTCTGGGCCGCCTTCAGGACGCAACTTTAATTACCCGTGGGCGAGAGCGGCTTTCCCGTGGCCATCTGCAGCCCCGGTGACAGGCGGTGTTGCTAATCGCGGGGGATAAGCTGCTTACAGCGACCCAGCTGGAGCGTGCTCGCTGCTGAGGTTTGGGCATTAAGGGGGGACAAAGCTGCAGGTTTGCCCCTGCGCTCGGAGGCGCAGATACCAAGAGGCGCATGTCCCGTCCCTGAGGTTCTGGCGAGGCCCAGCGGCATGTCCGACGGCAGCTATCAGAGTGAGTTAAGTGCCTACGAGGAGAGGTGCGTCCGCACCCGTGGAGTGTGCTGGGAGCCCTCAGGGATGCTGAGCGGGGGCCTGGGGCGTGCGCCATGGCTGTGCTGGCTGAGAGCAGGCCTGAAACGGCTCCCCGGGGCTGGGGGTGATGGCCCTCCCGCTCCCACCGCCACATCCTGGGACGCCGGCTGGTTCTTGGACGGCAGCACGCAAAGGGCGCTGCTGCGCGGCTGTTCCTCAGCTGCTGGAGCAGTAACTGCCCTCTCCCTGGCTAAGGGAAGAGCACTTGTGTGTGCCTGTTGATCTCGAAGCGGCAACGAGAGGCTCATGCGATGGCAGCGATGGTTCGGTCTGTAAGACTGAGGAGTGGGGGAAAAGCCTTGTTTCTAAGGCACGTGAAGCGTGATCTTGGACCAATCGTGCAATGTGAAATGGATCAGCCTTGGTCTGCAAGGATGGGAAAATTAGCATTGTCTGCACGGTGCTAATGTGTTTATTATGGGTCTGTCATTGTCATCGTAATGCTAAAATGGCCTTCACTTGAAAGAGCTTGATTTACTTTTCATGAACTGTACTATTTACTTCCTTTTGCTTATAACAACAAAAGTACATTGATCAGCTTGTTTTTTGTTTGCTTAATTGGATTTGTTTCAGGTTTTAATGCATTCGTGTGTTGCTGCAAAGTGTATATAGTAAGCATGCATTGAATGTTTTAGTTGGAAATATCAAAGCTAATATGCAATCCATTGGTCATGGATTTTGCAGTTTGCAAAATCTGTGGCTTGCCTTCAGTATCTCTTTTGGCCTTAGAAGAATTTTTTAAAAAGCACTTCATAAAATCTTGTTGCCTTTTGAGTAAGATTAACTACTGCTTAAAAGTGGTTACATTAAAGTCCTGAATGGCAATTTGGAGAAGGCAGACAAACATGATTTTTAAAGGATGCTATCTCTTCTTGATCTCAGTGAGACTGAAATTAGGAATGAGTGAGGTGAAGAACACCACCTAAAATAATTATGGCAATGTGTTGAGAACCTGGTACGTGGCAGAAAGAACTGAAATGGAGAACTAAAAAAATCACGAGTTATCAAGAAAACAGATTATGCCTAGGTTCTTGAGTGTAAAAGTAGTCCAGTGTCAGGTTCCAGGTGTTCATGGAGAAATACAGCAGTGATAAACATGATGGTTTCATGTCTTTTCACAATTCAAATCCCTTAAAACACCCTTTTGTGATACATTACTAGTTGGCTGGATATTCCTGGGAAGTAAGAAGTGCTTCTACAGAACACCAGTCTGCTGCGTTCTGTGGTTATACTTCACGCAGTGATAGGCACCCTAAAGAAGACAGCCATGCTTGGTCTGTTCACTCTGTAGTTGCCAGCTTCTACTTGTCTGGAAAAATAACGGGATCTTTCCCTCATGGTACGCTTGGCGATGTATGAAAGGCAGTTCATAGCGGTTCCCAAGGATAATTGCAACACTGCATGACTATCTCCTGTTGCTTTAGTAATTGAGTTTACTCACCAGTTTGTGGTGATTACTGAAGGAGTTTGCATGTGAGAAGGACAAGTGGGCTGTTTGCAAACAGGGATGACTGAGGCTCAGATGCTTTCTTAGAAGAGGATGAGATAAACATAGTTTGGAAACAGAGTGCAGTTTGACAGGAGCCTTTCTGGTATTCGAATATGTTTGAAAAAGACAATGGGCATCGATTTCATAGGCCATGCTGTCTCTTTCTTTTCAGATTGACTGGGGTTTTTTTACGGTTATATAGGGGTGTGTGTCTTTTCACAATACCATTTTCATTTTTTAAAAGGGGAATGGAAAAGAATGGTTGTTAGAATGACGGAGTGATTGACAACTTGCTTTTAAAATGTGAGGGAATGAAAGCACAGTCCCATCCAATCGTGCTTACCTGTTAGCAGCAACTTACGAATCTGTGCTCTGCATGAGAGTTATATGTATAACCATCTGACTTATTGGCTAGACTGCAAATTAGGTCTTCCATCTGTGCTGTAACTCTTCCACGTTAGGGGACAATGTAGATTCTCTGGATGTGTAAACATGGTTTCATCCTTTAGTGTGGACAAGAAGAAATTGGCCTGCATAGCCTTGAACCTTTGCAGGGCTGTAGCATGAGACGTGAACAAATTTTCACTTGTTAAGCAGTTAAACAGTACCGTAAGTTGAGACATTACCTTCCATACCAGCCCTGGAGAAAATACAAGTGTGGAGGAGATCTGAGCTGGATTTCCAGTCAATGACGAGGGGTAAGCATTATACTCCAGCTGGAACCTTGTTGCTCTGACTTCTGTATAAACATTTTCTTTTAGACCTGTTCTTGTTTGGTGTCATGCAGATCTGGTTAGATGTAAAGCATTCTGGAAAAGCAGCTACAGACTACCCTGTCTTGGCAGGAGGATAATTCA